ATTATTCTTTGACATTTTATCCTTCTATTTCAGAATATCGATTACACAGTTTTAAATTTGCTTTAACCACATCGCCGTGTGTCATTAGTATAAAAATTCGGTTTTTTTTTTTTCACGGAAATGGAGGAAACCCCTAATCATTTACTACCTTCATGCTATCATTTATTGATTTTCAGTTTCCAGCAGATCGAATGTTTGATACCGTCATTTTTTTTTTAGTAAACTGAGATTTATATTGGTCAACCAGTTTCAAAAGACGTAACGTACCTGCGCATGCACTTTGCGAACATCTAACTAAGGTAAGATACATATGATCGAGCTTTCGTCGTGAAATTTCCTGAAGTGTAGTTTCTAATGAAAAAAGCAGAAGGCAAATGTTTTAAGGAAGGTCGCATTAAAGTATTAGGAGGTTGCCACGTTTAAGTCCCGTTCAGACGTGGTACGTCACATAAACCGAATCGAATTTAAGCCGGATGAATAGATTGAGACGCCGATCATTATTCCAACCGAACGAAATTCAAAAGGGGAAAAGTCAAAGTGTATTGAAAATACATTATACACATTTATGCGTTTGGTTCGGCTCATGTGAAGTTCGGCGTCTGAATCAACGCCAGTCAAAAGCTGTTATTCCCAGCTGAACCAGGCGTGAAGAAAGAGTAAGAACAAATGAGCCAATTCAAATTCAAAATATCAGCCCTTTCGAACTGATTCAGACGCCGCATTTCACATGAATTTGGGTCATGTGAACTATGGCGTCTGAACCAGGCCTTATTTTGATTTCACGAGATACTATTTCCTAAAATAATGATGAATGCTCATTCGGCACTCGTACCAGAGTACCCTGGGTGCCAGAGGATTTTTTTCCCTGTTGTTTGCGGGGAAAATTGAGCGGCGAGGCCGCGATCGTGAACGAGCGGGTTTTTTTTCCCGCTAGTCACGATCGCGGCTTCGCCGCTCAATTTTCGCCGCAAACAACAAGAAAAAAACCCTCTGGCACCCAGGGTATCGTACCAGCTTCCTTCGCTGTACAATGTGTAAAAAGAAAAACCCATCTTTCAAAATATTACAAAGAAACACGCGCACGTAATTTTTCCTGTTCTTATTCTATTTGTACAAAGCACCCACATGGAAAGAATTTGGGTGACAGGGTTGGGCAGACTTGTTTGGAAAACTTTGCATGCCTCTGGAAATATCCAGCTACGCGCCTGTTTTCAAGCACAAGAGAAAACCACCAGCCTAATTTCGGTTTTCGGCACTTATGTGAAAGAAGAATGACTTAAAAAACTGAAATGACTCCCGAGAAGGTTAATGGCCTTAAAATAGCACATAGGTGAAAAACACAGTTTCAAGTATCTTGTTTTCAGTTGCCTGAGGCGAAAGTCAGGCATTGTTATAGGAAAAAGGGAAAAACCCCTAATTATTTATGATAAATTCTTCTGCTGAGCCTCTTGTACCTATTTTTGTATTCGTGTCACGTCAGTTGAAAGCAACTGTCATTTTCGAAAGAATTTCACTTGCTCAACTGGTTTTAAAAGCTATACCGTCAAGGTCTTCGCTTCTAAAATATTGTTCATCGTTAGGGAAATCAACTTGGAAACATCTGGCTGAGGTAAGATTCGTCTTGCCGTGCTTCTTCATGAAGTACTAGTGGTGTTCATTGAAAAAACGGAAAACGAGATAGGAATTAAGAGAGCCGTAAACCGTTTCCTGTGAGATTGTTGCGATCGAGCGAAAGAGATAAAAGCCTTCATTACTGAAACTCCTAAATGCGATTGTTAGAATCCGACACCAGTTCAAAACACAGGGGCAGCCAACGACACCCAAGGAAAATACAAATACACAGGGGCACCCAAGGAAAATATCTGTTTGGAAGACGATTTGAGATCTAGAAGTTTCGGAACATCTGTTATTAAATTTCTTGCTTACCTGGCTCTCCTAGGATTTTCGAACACCCAAAAGATGGTTTAATTGCCCATTTTTAACGGATTTTCACCGTAAAACGGTCAACTAGAATTTTCGGGAGCCTTTTTCGCGCTAAAATTTTCGAAAAGGTTAAGTTTTGATCCCTGTAATTTTCGGTTCACTAGACTTCCAGCTAGGAAATCCGAACAGATGAAAAATTTTTAGGGGATAAAAATGTGCCTGTATCTACTGTTTAAATACTAACATACGTTCAACGATGCTATTTTTAAGTGGTTTTGAACTATATTCTCGTTGGGTAAACCTGAAAACACTTTTCAGAGCATAATTTATATTTTATCAAAAAATCGTTCTTAGTAAACTATTTTCAAATATAGTATTAAAATTTCCAGCGAGACTCCGTTTTAGCAAAAAATAGGAAACAGAATAATTAGGAAACTCGAAAATGGATCCCTTGTCCTACATAAACTGAATAAAGAGAATCTGGCCGAAGGTCTCGTGAAAATTATGCAAATTAGGGCATTTTCTAAACGTTCGTACAAAAACAACGAAGTTTGTCTTCGTTTTTATAGTTTTGAAT